TAGGTCTTATTTTCGGGAAAACAGGGTAGTTGCTGAAGTCCACTGTGGAGTTTGTGCTGATTCAGCAGATCTGTTACATTATATGTATTGTGCCTTGAACAGAGTAATCACCAAGCTGAATCACCAAGCTGCCTCCCTCATTGTGATAAACAGTATTTCAAAAATAAATTACAGCTTTATTTATTTATTTATTTATTTGGATTTATACCCTGCCCATCTAGACCAAAGATTTTTCCTCGGTGTAAATTTCAGGGGATAAGGGATTCAAAGCAACCCCAAAAGCATAAAACAGTATTATTTCACATTTAAACCACAGGGAGTGTACTGTACAAAGGTTCGATGACTGCTGGACTCTGTCACATTTTCAACCTCTCATCTTCAGTGAGGGAGCATCAAATCACTCATCAGCATGGCCAACATACAGTTCAAAAATATAACTCTTCCAAACTATGTCCAGACATCTAAATGAGCGCCTGGGTTTCTTTTCCTACAGTGAAGAATCTTGTGGCATGTAAACACTAACAACTTTTATCTGGCATACGTTTTTGTGGTCTAGAACCAACTTCTTCAGATGCATGGCCACAGACCACAAGAACTTATGCCAAATAAAATCTGCTAGTTTTTAAGATGACACAAGACTCTTTGGCTGGTTTTTCTCCAACAGATTATCATGGTTACACCCTTGGAAATTTCCATATGGTGGTTACACTTTGCCAGATGGTAACATTTTAGGGTTTACATGCATTTGATGTCTCGTACTTTCATTTGCAATGAAATGTATGGCAGGTTTTTATTTCCATAAGAGGAATTGTGGCTTTTTTATGTCTATCTGTATCACATCTTCAGGGATGCCTATAGACAAATATGACACTACCACATTTCTCTCTCACACACACTCATCCAGTCTTTTTAAGGGCTTTAGTTCATAAGACTTGTGATACCTTTTCAAAAAAACCAACAACACAAAACACTTCACTTGCCACCAATCAAGAGAGTTTCTGAAGTATAGTGAAGAAAGCACCAATTACTAGAAAGCATAGCATTTCAAATACATGCGGTTATTTTACTCCTCATCAAAGCTACAATTTGAAGTTTTCAATTCTTGTCTTTGATCAAGGAATGAAAACTCCTTTTCCATTTGAAATCTTGAAAATTCAATAAAGAATGGTTTCAACACTGAGTCACTTTAGTTCATATTATATGCCATACTAGGGAAGCTAAAATAACCATTTTAACAAAACATGAACTTTCTAAAGACTCTATAAAAAGGCATACCAGAATTTTGAAAATAATTACCAGTTTAAGGTAATAATATAAGTTGATGAATCATTTGAATACAAAATTATTACATTAATAGTGCAATTCTCTCTATATATACACTTAGTAAGTAAGCCCAATAAATAAGCCAAGAATTGAAAATTTCAAATTTATTCCATGGGGACTTACTTCCTGGTACATGTGTGCAAACTGATTTCACTAAAAATGATTTATCCTAGAGGTGTGTGTGTGTGTGTGTGTGTGTGTATGTGTGTTTTTCATAAAAAATATATAAAGGAAATAAACTTTTTACACAGAATACTGAACACAGGTCATGAGCAAAGTTTTCACTGCAGTACTGCTGCTTAAACACTGCACCATGAGGCTCTTCAGCCTCATTAGACAATTATGAGGCTGAGGATCTAAAGAGCTATTCTGTGTAGTTCTACGTACATTGATTGATTGATTGACTGACTGACTGATTGATTGATTGAATGTCTAAATTTCCTGATGGTCACTGGGTGCTGCAACACTAAAAGAACTATAAAACATACCATTCAAAATAAATATCAAATGAAAGTTAATTAATATATTTGTGAAGGCTTTCACGGCTGGGATCTAATGGTTGTTGTGGGTTTTTCGGGCTCTTTGGCCGTGTTCCGAAGGTTGTTCTTCCTAATATTTCGCCAGTCTCTGTGGCTGGCATCTTCAGAGGACAGCACTCTGTGCTCTGGTGTAGGACAGGGGATCACTACACACAAAAGACCAGCTAATGACACCCATCAACCACAGGAACAGATAATCTCTTCTCCTTAGCACAATACACACTAATCACCCATCTACAGAAAAAGACAAAGGCCTATCTCACAGCCATAAATACTGCACTCCCAAAGCCAACTACACCAGAGCACAGAGTGCTATCCTCTGAAGATGCCGGCCACAGAGACTGGAAGAACAACCTTCAGAACACGGCCAAAGAGCCTGAAAAACCCACAACAACCGAAAGTTAATTAGAATTTAAAATTGGTTGGGTGGTTGTAGATGTTATACATACACTCCAGTGGAGCTATTAGGCATGGCATGATTTAGAACACTTGCTAGAATAAGAAAATTTTTAGAGACTTCTTCAAAATCTCTATGGACCACCCCCTCCCCCCCAAGAAGGCCCGGTTCCTTGTTTTCTCCTTCCTTTCTCCTCTCTCGGGTTCAGCATCCTCAGCCATCTGCCTTGAGAGGGTCAAGAAGGACAGGCTGCCCTTCTTGGAAAGATGTGTTCCATCATGTACTGAGGTCTCAAACCATTTAGGGCTTTATAGGTCAAAACCAGCACCTTGATACAGAAATGGACTGGTAACTTGTTCAAGGTGGCCAGTATTGGGGAGATATGTCTATGTTCATTACTCCCCTAACTAGTCTGGTTACCATATTCTGGACAGAGAAGTGACTGTTGGAGTTGTGGAAAAGTGAATTTTGAAGTTGAAAGGTGGCTGAAGATAGGTTCTTTCAGATGACATATAAACAACTCTTTCCCAAAACTGAATGCCGCTTACTCCCTGTGAACATGAATATTAACATAACCTTTCCTGCTTAGAACGCAGACCACAAAAGAAAACTGTGCATTCAATGGAACTTATTCCATTCAAATATGCATAGGGCTACTGTGTAAGAGGATTCTACTGTAACAAATCACGCCAAGACACAGTACATGAGTACTTGGAAACAAATGGTTTAACAGCAACACTTGGAGTTCTTTTTGACATCTATGTAGCAGAGTCATGGCCCTTCAGGTATTGCTGGACCCCTTATTCCTGTCAATTGGACATGATGTTTGTGGCAGATGGGAATTAGTCATCCCCTCATATACTTTTACATCATTTCCCTTCATAAGACCTGGGATAAACTATTTGTCATGTTATGTACACTGAAGAATACAGAAATTGTGAAAAACAAAAAACAAAAATCATTTGACCTTTTTTTTTAAAAAAAGGAACTAAAGACAATCTCTTTCCCAGCATCCTTCTCACCACTGAGCTGTCTTGCTTCACTACTTTTTCTCCCGCTGCTCTGTTTGCTAAGGAACAACTACATGATGTATTTAATATTTTCCATGCATTTTTCCCCCATGGAAATTTCATCTACTCATGAGTGGATACAGATCCAAATGGGAAGAACAGCGCACACACAGAAAAAGCTATAATTCTTCTCTCCCCACATGTTGCTCTCCCCAAACATAACAGCCAGTGACATGTTTAAAACTCCCAGTTAAAGCCACATGCTTCTGCAGAAGTTGAACTGCTATGCAGGGTGGTATAAGGAATGGACACATCCCCATTTTAAATGTAGTTTTAATTATAAATCAGCTTTACACGGTAAAGTTGAAGCAATAGGGACTGTGCAACCTGCTGACCTGTTCACACAGTATATGGTAGTATGCCAAGGACAATATACCTCCGTAAACTCAAAATAAATAAGTAAATTCAGAATAAATTATAACAGATTTTAGTAAGAAAAGATTTTATGGTGGCATTAGTGATGGGTAGTTAAGCATACAAATTGCACACAATGGGACATAAAAGACACACATAGCTACTGATTTGGTTCTTGATTTTATTAGTTCAAAGGAATATATAACATCCAACTACCCATTCAGTCTGGGAGTAAATTAAACGCTCTGTAAAAGTGTGCCTCTGAAAGAGATGAGACAAAGCACCATCTTGGCTGGAATCAACACACAAGAAGGAGTATAACTAGATCTTCTGAACATTCCTCCTCTAATACTCTACAAATCTGGAAAAATGTTTAGAAAGGTTTTGAGTAACATAGGGTTACTCAAAAAATGTGAATGTATCAGGAATGTGATTGTCTAAGTATAGCGAATCGCTGTTTTGATGAACAGCTTTATGTCCGTGTAAAGTGGACTGAAATAACTATCTCAGCATTAAAGATGCCACAAGACAGTGCTCTGCTTTTGTTATACATCCTGAAACAATCTAAAATGGCTACTTTTCTGAACTCTGTGAAGCTGGTGAATGTAATACAGAAAATGTTTCAGAATTTCTAGATGGCAGTTTGTTTAGATTTCATGCTTAGTTATGCATCCACATCAACCTAGCCCGATTAAACTATAGCAGTTTTATTAACTTAATCAAAATCAGTAGGACTTCAGAGAAAATATGCTTATGCTGGATAATCTGTGTCAGTCCTTTTTTCAGAATTCTACTATGTGGGATATGGTTCTCCCACCCAGAAACACATTTTGGCCCTTCTGTGCTATCCTCCCCATCCCTCAGTTTCTGATGTCCCTACTGCAACCTTAAAAATACCTCTCAGACAAAACTTACAAAAATTAAAATAATAGTCAAGGATGGGAATTTGATTTGTGGGACTAGCTGTCAAGTCTCACTGGTGACTCAAATCAGACTTAATTTGTTTTTGTTTTTCAATGACTCAGACTCGATTCCAAGTCTCACTGGTGACTCAAATCAGACTTGATTTGTTTTTCAATGACTAAGACATGATTTACGACTCGGAAATGACTCATCCCTCCTTTTTTCTGTGGAAAAAAGTGTGGTTTTCAATAGGGACTTGGGGCTTGGTACCAAAGACTTGGATTTGAGACTCAGATCCGAAGACCTGCCAACATCCCTGGAAGCAGTCAATAGAGTACAAATGTCCCTCAAAAATGCATATGATGTATTTATTTATTGCATACTTCTCAAAAATATACATTCAGTATTCCTTACCTGGGGATATTATATAGAAGAAATCTTTAAATTCATCCATCCATACTTCTGCAAGCCGTCTATTATTCTTATTAATCACATGGCCAGTACCACCAGGGAAGGTATAAGGTGTAGCTTTTCGAAAGACATGACCAACATGTGAACATGTTACAATCTCTAGTGAGCCTCCACACTGCCAAATCTGAAATTTAAGTGTAAATAAATAAATTTTAAAAAATCAATCACATCATTTTCAGATGTCTAATTAAAAATTAAGTTGCTGCATATTCATCTTATTAAGATAATTATAGATTTAATATTGAGAATTCAAGCAGGGTGTTATCTTTGAACTTATGTAAAGTCAGAGGTGCCTATAACCCTTTACCAAATTAATTTATTGGGAACTGTCTGACTAATTTTAACCAGCAACAACTCACATAGCCACCTTAGGAACACTCACATAGCTAGCAAACTTTTGATTATGCTATTATTAAACTACAAGAATCTCAAGATATACAAATTCACAGTTTGTGGAAGAATACAAGAAATATTCATGACTAAGAATTTTGATGGAACGCAGATACAGTGGGGGCTTGACTTGAGAACTTAATCCGTATTGGAAGGCGGTTCTCAAGTCAAAAAGTCTGTAAGTCAAATCTCCATTGACCTACAGTGCATTGAAAACCGATTAATCCCGTAACAGGCCGTTTTTGTTCCATTTTGGTTTTTTTCTGGTCTGTAAGTCAAATCTCAGTCTGCAAGTCAAACCTAAATTTTGCGGCCAGAGAAGTCTGTAACTCAAAAAGTCTGTAAGTCAAGCCGTCTGTAAGTCAAGGGTCCACTGTAGTGCTATATTCTGCATAGATTATGTGTATGTCTGGTGCTTACAGTTTTCAACGACAGATCTCAGATGTGCACAATCTGGACTCACAAATCTCACATTCACCTGATCAATTAATTTCACATTGCAACAGAAGCAAGAAAAGAAGTGACTGACATGTGATACCAAATGCCTTTGTTTACTTAACTTGCAGCAATTTTCTGCTGAAAGTTACACTGAATGAATCACACTAGTGGAAGTAAGTTACAGAATTCTGGCCTATATTTTACCACATTTTTCATCAGAAAATGTAAGTTACTATATCAAATACTAGTTCAGGGTAGGCGACATACTTAGGTTGGGAGCCGACAGTGAACACAACACCACTTCAAGGGCCACATCTCCATTACTTTGCCACTGCTGAATTGCAGCAGCAGCTCAGGTGTCTTTTGCCAACAATCTAGCTCACCATTGCATGAAGATTGGTCTGGGCTTAAGGCTAGACCAGCAGAGCAACAATAACCTACTGCAGGTTCTACCAAGATGGCAAGTCTTTAAATATAGTTGTGTACTGCATGTTTGCCATGTAAGAACCGGTAAAGCATGGATAGGCTTATCACTTCAAGTGACAAATGGGGACCAACATCTACGGATACAATAAAGATGTAGAATAGTTGAAGTCTGCATTGTTGGAATGAAATCTGCAGCAATGAGGTCACAAATCTTCAAGGGATTTAAAAGTATTGATGAAAAAGATGACAATAAATAACACAACAGGTTTCTTTGACTGGTTTAGTTATTTAAAAAAGAATGGAGACCAGGCAGAGGCCCTCATAAAACAGGCATCTCTCTTCTCTCTCACCAACATGCCTCAAAAGGCCACACAACAGCATATAAATATTTCTTCCTTTCTTTTAGAAATATTGATTTTTATCCATCCATAATTTAACAAACCTCCAGCATATTCCCCAACTGGGATATTTTCCTCTACACTGCAAACAACCAAACCAAACAAACACAAACCAACAATTGAGTTTTTCTTCATTAGAAGGGCTATTCCATCCTTTTACTCATTCTATTCTTTGGAGACAAGGTGGCCAAAATTGCGCATATACAATTTAGATTTATGTAAAATTATCAAGATAGTTGCTTGCTTTTCAGTTCATTTCCTAATAATTTCTTTTTGTTGCTACTATACCATAAATTGACATTGTCACTGAACTATCTATCCTCCATGCTCCAAAAAACGTGGCTAGGGCAATCACAGGCAATTCATAATAATTACTGTATATGTGAAGGCAGGGTGTTTAAAAACCAAAACCAAACACACACACACACACACACACAAAAAGTGAATCATTTTGTGTTCAGTTACATTTCATTTATGGGATTCTCTTTTAGGTCTTCACCACCTACTGGTACTTTGGATTTCAATATCCTAAATAACATGGTATTATTTATAACTCTATAGTTCACTGGTCACCTCAACTAATTTAATTAGTAATTAAAACTAAGTAATTAAACAATTAATTGATTAAATTAATTAATTAACCAATTTTAAACAGTACCTGTCCTATAAAGTTTATTTCCTAGACAGCTACTATGAAAAGCCAGAGGGAGGAACTCACCTTAAACTAGTAGCTGCTACTATCACCCCCTCCTTCGTCCATCCTAGATGAACAGAGCCCCAGCTAACAACATATAAGAGGAATTCAGTTGTAGGGTCTCTCCTCTCCCCTAGAGCTGTGAAGTAAAATAAATAAAAGGCAACCAAAGGGTCTAAACCTAATGGCTTGCTTCCCCTTTCCTTAACAGGGGAATTCTATGGTACACAAATTAAGCAGAAGGCAATGGGGAGATGAGTTATTTCTAAGAAGGAATTAAACTAGTATGTCTTAAAAGAAAATGGTTCAACACATTCTATCAAAAGTTACTGCAGGTTAGAAAATACATAGAGACAGGTCTCTGGGCACAAATGTAAGAATTGTAAAAGTGGTATAAGGAAACTTCTTTCAACATTCTCCTACCTCATTACCCCTGTTAGAAGAAGTGAAAGCATCTGTTTGAAGCATAATGTTTGACAACCTAACTGAATGTTACTGTATTTTAAAGTAAAAATACACTTGAACACTTAAAGATTATTTTTTTTTCATTAATGGAAATGCTGCTAAAGTGACTGAGTGCAGAGTTTTACTTTCACCAGACATAAACCTATTAAGAATATGTTCATTAGTATACAAAGAGAGAGAATTCAGATCAGTTATGACAACATCAAAGCAAACCTCACTTTTCATAGTTCAGAGGTAACAGAATAAATTAAAATGGTACGCTGATATTCACTGAAATTAGTCTGCTTGGTTTCTTCTAACCATTAACCTCCTTAAAATCACTGATCTTCCTCATTCTTAAAAAAAAATCTTGACAAGCACAGTCCTTACTATTAGACCAGCTGCATGCATACAACTGAATCTAAAATGGGGCATGGAACATACAGAACGGGTCATGAACACAGAATCTGTGCACCAATCAGAAGATTTGGTTATGACCCCTGATTGAACACTTTGACTCAGACTAGTTTGGAGCTACAGTAGTTACTTTTAATTTGTGCTTTGAAACCAATCTCAGGTTCAGTCATTTGTAGATTTGTGATTCTCATTGACTATCATTGGAAAATTCCTTTTTAAATTGACTATAACGTGTATGTGCGTATGTGAAGGAGGGAGAGAAAGAATTGAATGAGATGTGCCAGTACTACAGGCCCTTAGGAAGAGATTACTTCTGTCAAACTGATGCCAAATAGGTCTACAGTAGGTCTTTGCACTATGCTCCTTTAACTCCTGGCCAAAACTAAACTAAACTAGACTAAGCTAAATTATAAACACATAGGAACTCCTAACATTACTGTATTTCCCCTCCTAGACAGAACTGGAAGACATGTTGGCACAGTTGCCTTTTCTGAGAGAATCAAATCCGTCAAGTTCCAGGTAAATATGTACCTGGATTTTTGTCTGTTAAACTACTAATTCATGCTTAGAACATAACATAATGGAACTCCTCACTTATACCACAGAATACTATCATACTTATAAAATACAACACATGTTTAATACGTGCACATAGGATCAAAGTCCAGCTATTCTACATGAACTTGCCGCTGCTGTTTACTTAATATTGTTTCTGAGCAAAGCAATAGAAAACTGTGGGAAACTTCTGCTTAAGGGTTGTAGCTGCATTCTGTTTCAGTGACGTGCATACATCCTGGCAGGAAGTGGCAGCTGCCAGCAGGCAGGGTAACCCCTTATTCTGCCCTTTTGCTTAGAGGTAGAGCATAAGATCAAAGGGTTATTTTAGCCAATCCTGCTTACGATTAGGTAACCAGTATCCTGTCTCTCACACAACATATTATGTAAATCATGCTAAGTAAATAAAAGAGTTCTCAGTGCATTGCCTGTAAGCTCCGCTGGCTCAGCCATCCTGTCGACTCCTTTGTTCAATCTCTAAGGCAATTAGCTTTCCTTTGTTCCGTGATCAAACACAGAAAACCAATACCTCTGTGTTTGTGTGTGTATGTGTGCGCACATGTGCCCATGACAGGCAGAAAAATTAAGTTCATACATAAATATTAAAGTGATAAAAATTTCCTTTTTATACGATCTGAAGAGACCAGAGTATGAAGTATGTATGTATGTATGTATGTATGTATGTATGTATGTATGTATTATTTATTTATTTATTTTATATCCCGCCTATCTAGTCGGTTAAGACCACTCTAGGCGGCTTACAGAAAACATACAGCAATACTGTATATATATAAAAACTTTCAACAAATTAGGACAAAGAGTATGGAGAGGAGAGGAAGGGCAGGAATTGATTGAGGGGAAGGCCTGCCAGTACATCAATGTTTTTAGTTGCTTTTTAAAGATAGGGAGGGTAATAACCAAATGCTAAATATTAAATATTAAATGTAATTTTTAATGCTAGCTGTAGTAGAAATGAGGAAATGGAAGGATGTTGAATGCCAGCTATTAAGGAGCATACACAAAAAGTCTGACAGCAGAAATATGAACAAGGAAGAACAAAAAAATTAAAAAACACGCTACAGGAAAAAAACTGGTGAAAGGCTACTAAGCTAAAAGGGAAGCTTTAGCAAAGCCTCACATTCAAGAGATTATACAGTCTTTGGTAAAACATATGCTAAAATTAGAAGATGCACCTCAGCTACTCTACATCCCTGCTGCCTCCATCTTTCCCACTCAGGTCATTTTTGTCACCAGAAAATTAGTGTTTTCCCAATATTTCTGCCTTCTACTTGTCTGCAGCAAAGCTTTTGCATGCAGAGTGATTCCGTGCTATGATGTTCATAGGATTTTCCACTCAGATGA